AAGAGAAAAGTGTGTCTAGAAGGCAGAGAGTTTGAAAAGCACAGCTTCTGAGCCAGCAACGGCAGTAAACATGTAACCAGCTTCTAAAAGCATTTCAGTTTAGCAGGACTAAGGGAGATTTCCCTGTGATTCATGTAAAAATGTCGCATTTCTTTCCTCCTCTTTGAAAGTCGGGTGGCAGCTGGCTAATATACAGAAAGATTTGTTTCTGTCTTCGAAATGCATTCCAAAATATTAAAAGCCCGTTTTCTCAGCAGTTCAATGGGATGGGACTAGCCAGGACCTATGAATAAATAAGGATGCTCTACAGCAGGGGTGTCAAACATGCGGCCCGGATCAGGCCCCCATAGGGCTTCCATCAGGCCCGCAGTGGAACTGGCCATCTCCTGCTTCCAGTTCTGCTGCTGCTGCCACACCATAGCTTGCTTCGCCAGACTCTCTTAATCACTCAGCCATTTCATGATTTCACCTGGGTCCTGGACTCAGAACTCTGAGCATGAGATTTCTGTGGTGAATGTCAGTAAATCGAAAGTAGATTTGCAGCGTAGAGCTAATGTTTTAAGCCTGTTTTATTTTAAGTTAAAAAAATACCTTTGTGTTTGTGTCCTTTATAAAGTTTATATCTCCGCTACCTGGCATTACATTTTATGACACACATGGCCCGGCCCAACAAGGTCTTATTTATCTGGCCCTAATAACAAATGAGTTCGACACCCCTGCTCTACGGGATGGGAGCAGTCTGAGCCATACGTAATAACGTGCCCCAACTAGAAACACTACAGAGATGGCCTGTGGAATCTTCCCAGGTGGACTATCCCAAGTAGCTTTCGAGCTGGTAATGGTCCCATAGCCCAGTGGAGGTGCACGTTCTTTGCAGGCATGAAGCCCTTGGTTCATTCTCCAGCATCTCCAGGGAAAGCAACTCAGGCTGCATGACTGGGCTAAGCAAATAAGCCATCTGAATCGATGTATCAGTTTCGTATTAACATGTATTGGTCCAACATGCAAGCTTGCTCCCTTCTCTCCAATTCACAAAGGGCAGACCCCTCCCCACCCACTCCAGAGCAACACTACAGCTCTTCAGAAGGGAAGAGCCCCACTTAAGGAAGAGGACAATACTGTCCCTGTTCGATTTCTTAAGGAGGGGCTGTGGCTCAGTGATAGAGCCTCTGCTTGGCATACAGAAGGTCACAGGTTCAATCCCTGGCATCTCCAGTAAAAAGGACCAGGGAATAGTTGATGTGAAAGGCCTCAGCCTGAGACCTTGGAGAGCCACTGCCAGTCTGAGTAGGTGATACTGACTTTGATGAACCAAGGGTCTGATTCAGTGTAAGGTAGCTTCATGTGATAATCTTCAAACTTCAAAAATGGTCGCTATCCGCATCTACTCCACCTTGCTATCCTCTCACTAACGAATTAACACCCATTTTGTCAACACTGTAAATTCAATATGTTGTCGAAGGCTTTCACGGCCGGAGTTCATTAGTTGCTGCAGATTTTCCGAGATGTGTGGCCGTGGTCTTGGCAAGACACATCCCGGAAAATCTACAGCAACTACTGTAAATTCACCTTAAATTACAGAATGGCCCTACCTCCTGAACACAGCAGCTGTATTTTCACTACCAAAAAGTGGAACGGAAGTTATGGGGGGATGGATTCTTCCTGTTCACACTGAGGTGACCACCCTTTTTCATCCCCACAGGTGACCTCAGGATGTCCTTAGCACAAGACAAAACGGACAGTGTCTTCATGTCACTCTCTCACTGCAAGACATATTATCCAGAATATTCTCTCTCTCCACCTTGCAACCCATGACACATCTTGGCTTCACGCTTGTTCCATATGAATTGCTCTTTACTACCCCCAAAGACGAGGGTTCCCATCACGGCCTTGCATTTAAAGACTCTGTCCTTCCCCAGAGAACCTCAGTCTTGTCTGTCCATATATTCTACCAGGAATGAGAAATTTCTGCAAAGTTAAGACCACTGATGCCGTCCTCCACCACCAAGGTGGTTCACACCCATTTCCTGTATTCCATTTTTCCAGGTTGTTGTGGTACTGCCCCCCGCCCCAACATTAGAACACCTCCTGGCAATCACCAGCCAAGGCCTTCCCTTCTTCAATCAAGAAGAAAAACCCTTCCCACAAAGATACCCCCTTTCACCAGCAATCTCTGTCACCGCCAAGCATCTAAGGTGGGATTCTACTTTCCTTTGGGAGGAGCCTCATCATTTAACAAGTAAACATAAATGCATTTCCTTTTCCAGGGCACCCCAGAAGACACAAGCCGTTCTGACCTCCTCCCAGGTCACCGCTTGGTGGCTATTTGTGACCAACAAGCTTCCTGAAGCCAAGCCAAGCGCTCTCAAAAAGACCACCTTTGAATGCACTGCCAGTTCCCTGAACTTGGGAACGACATCCCTAGAGGCCAACTCCCACCTCACCTGTTCACAGGTAGCAGTAGAAAAGAGCAAGCGTCCAGTAGCGCCTTAAAGACTACCAAAATACGTGGCAGGAGAGGAGCTTTCGTGAGTCACTGCTCACTGCTTGAGATACAGCTAGAATGGGAGTCCATCTGTCCTATTTATCAGAAAGTGCAGTGATTTCAGATGCCAAATGACAATAGCAGGTGAATGGCAATAGCATTCGGCATCTGGAATCACTCCACTTTCCAATAAACAGGACAGATGGACTCTCATTCTAGTTGTATCTGAAGAAGCAAGCAGTGACTCACAAAAGCTCATCCCCTGCCACATCTTTTGGTAGACTTTCAAGTGCTACTGGACTGTTGCTCTTTTCTACTGCTACAGACAGACTAACACAGCTACCCAGCTTGGTCTACCTCCACGGAAGGCATATGATTTAACCGTACTGAATGGAAAGCCATCCACCTTGTGATATAAGGACAGATGGACTCCCATCCTAGCTGTATCTGAAGAAGTGCGCAGTGACTCATGCAAGCTGGTATCCCGCCACAAATTATGACAGTCTTTAAGGTGCTCCTGGACTCATGCCCTTTTCTACTGCTACAAATCAACAGGGCTACCCATCTCGACCTGTTCACAGGTGGGACTGAGAGAGCACACCCGCAGGCTAGTTGGAAATCCGAGAGCGAACACTGCGTGCCCCCAAGGCCAGCAAACGCATCCAGGGATTGGCGGCAGCTCCTGACCGAAGGGACTCGAGGGCAAACCCGGGTTCCCTTCGGCACCACGTGTGAAAGGGCGCCGCCGAGCACGGAAGGAGCCCCGCCGCGTCCCCCGACCCGGCGGCGCAGAGAGATGTCCGCCCCGCAGCCCCGACCGCCCCCCCGCAGCGAGCTACCTGCTCCACCGTGGCGGGGTCCATGCTCTCGATGCGGGCGGCCGCCGTCTCGTACTCGTCCTCGCTGTTGTAGCCGGCGCCGGCCTCGTCTTGCTCGGGGCTGTTGCCTCCCCCTCCGCCGGGCCCGGCCGCCCCGCCGAGGCCCAGCCCGCCGCCACCGCCGGGGCCGCCCC